AGACAATCCATGTCTCACCCGGAGATTATTTTTGTTTTCTTCTTGACAGGCACGAGAAGAGGGCACACTGATGTCGTATTTGACGCGTGCGAAAATCAAGGGTGAAAAAGGGACGCCGCTTTTTTTTTCAACCCTGAACAACGAACGGGGGGGTAATCCACTTAGAGGGACTATCTCATATCAGTTGGTCCGCCATGACCATGTCTTAGATGAGCGTTACTATACGTACTACTGTTCTGCGCTGCATTCGGATAGACGCCCCGAGCAAGCAGTCCAGTTGATTAGCCCGTTGGCGCGTTGCGGGAGATTAATGTAGCGTGCACAAAGTACGAAGTCATTAAACCAGCATCCTAACTGGCTGCCATCAGCTTCAGCCTGAGACAAACAGGGGGTTGGTGTAATCTACGAGCACCTTCCCCTGGACCTGCAACTGGATCCTGCCTGCCCTGTCACTTTGGTCCCGCTGTCCGCGTTGGATTTCCGGCCCCTCCACTTGAATCCTGCAGAGTTGGCAGACAAACAACGCGAGAGGTGGGAAAAAGAAGACCTGGGAACTTAGAACTGACCCCGCGCAGAATCGAACTCGGACCCTTTAGGTGGCTGGGTGGCTGGGTGGCTGAGCGGCTGCCGCTGGTGCCTGTTGGTGCCTCAGAAAACAGGTGGCAGGCGGCTCAACAACCTCTCTTTCACATGACAATCAGTCAGCGGGTTGAAGAATCAAAGGTTGGGGAAGAAGGCACTGAAAGCGGCCACGGTGCGGGATGCTGCGATCTTGTTGGGTGATCGGGCGCCACGTTGGCTGCTGATCACCCGATCCTCGTTTCCCCTCCTTTCCCCCTCTTCTTTCCTCCTGTCTTCACCATCTTCCTTGTAGTCCTCATCCTTCTCCTCTTTCATCCCTTCCTGACAACACCCATCTTATCCCAAGCCTCACAACATCAATCACAACACCAAAAACAAGAACAAGAAGGGGCAAGAAGCGCCGTCTTATCTGAACATGGTCCACAAACACACTAAGTCGACGACTCGTCCTCGCTCCGCTGGCTCTCCGTCTTCCCCACTTGACCGCGATATGGACCGGAAAGTCTATATCCCTCTCTGCTTCTGTCTGGTCTCCTTTGCTGTGATGGTCTACATCAATTAGTCTGGAGGCTGGGAAAGCTCGACATCCCTGCAATCTAATTATCAACAATAGCGCGTCACCTCCTTTCAGGCCTAATGCAACACGGGAACGTCTATACTTGTCAATACGAGGTTAACGATAACCATCCATCTTCGCAAACCCCCATCGCACCAAGTCTACCTACATTGCAAAGATACATGGGGACCCAGCACAGTGGCACCCCGGCCACCTTTCGAACTTTTTTCACGCTTTGTTCTAAATCACCGCCGCCAGCATTCAACCGCTGGGTATCGGCCTTGGGAATGGAGTTCAACAGAGCATCCATATGACCACGATAAACAATGCCGTCTAAGCCTCTCACCATCTGGGGAATCCGGCAGCTCCGGGGCTTAGTAGGGAGACGGCAGGTTCCGTCTAAGCAAGCAAGCCTTCGTGGTCTAGTTTCAACCTAGCGATGCACACGGCTGCGGTGGTCACGCGATACCCCGCATTCCAGCCAGCTTGCAAGTTACAACTACACACTTACTACTGCAAAGTGACGTCTCGATATACCTATACTGTTGACGCCACTATTGCTTGATTGTTTTCTTTTTCATTCTTTGTCTATTGATACCCGACTCGCTCACCATGCGACTCTATCCCTCAACATCTCATATGTCTCACATCAGTCATGTCTTGGCTTATATTTGATTGAAATATTCAACATTGCCCAGCAATTAAATGACATAAACATTATCTCCTGGTTACAGTTTCACACCCAATAAATGAACATGTTGAGCCACCCGCAACCTTGGGACGCAACAGAAAAAAATAAACTATTACCCAACCGAGACTCAACCGCCCGAAGCCATGTCGGGTACACTAGCCAAGGAACCGGTACAGAACGTTGTAGAACCATCAAGTTCTTGGTACCCAACAACGCCCGTTGATCAAGTCCCATGACCAACCCTGTAGTCCGGTCATGGACACCGCTAATGCGGTCTTTTTTTTGGTGGCTCCCTCGAAACTAAGCTACGAGTAAAACATTTTCAGCACGTACGTAGTGGTTAACTGATAGCAAGCAAGCGTCCACGAACCCGCAGTTTGTCTGTAATGTACACCCGCCTGCAGTCAGACCAGACTAACCCGCCTCGGCTTGCCGCTGCTGCCTTAGTCGCCCTTTTTTCTTTCTGTCTCCACCATGGATTAGACACCCTCCAAAAATAGTCGGGATAAGTAGTCGAGGTGGTTTGTTGACTTCGTATACATAGATTGCTAGACTATGTCACTCTGATTTTAGATTGTCTATTTGCAGCGAACACAGATTACAAGTCCGAGAGTTTTGGGAGGGGTTGTCTGAGTTAGGTGGCTGTGTGCCGGACTGCTTGCCACGCGGGCTATACTTAGCACTGGGTGCGTGTATAACTTACAAACTACTACGGAGACCGGAGGCGGGCTGCGGTGATGGCGATATGCTACTATGTTTGTGCTCTCTAGTTGACGTTTCCATTTCAATGGCAGCCGGTATCATGTGATGCAGTCGGTGCGCAAGGGTGATGTTGTTGATGCTAGTATGGTGCTACCACGGGGAAAACATTGCATTGCGGTGATGTCGCAGTCGGCATTATCCATCCCTGGGGTGGTGGTACGGGAAGACGGGTTGAGATAATGCTATTGTCACGGGTTTCGGCTGGAACAGCGTGGGTGCAGCGTTACGCAAGCCGACCCAGAAACTGCAAAGGGAAAAAAAATATTCGATGTGCAAAAAGGTCGTGCCCGGGATCGAACCGGGATTACAGGAATCAGAATCCTGGGTGCTAACCATTACACTACACAACCTAGTAGTTGCTGTGGCAAGCAATCATAGATATATGATCTGGCATGGATGTCTATTGAGGAGTGAGCTCAAAGTACACAAAAGCCACGGGATAACAACGAATGTATGACCTCATGTTACACTTCATACCCGATTACTGACGATGCCAACATTCTTCCTATCTTGGCGGGAATGCAGCATTCCCCATCGCTTGGCGGTTTTGCTGTCGCAGGCCGAATGGGGATATATATCCAGTGGTGATACTGGGCAGCGATGTCACCGGTGAACGTGATACTACCCTGCTGTGCATCCATGGCTGCCACCCGGATGGAATCCGGACGGGAACCTACCACTTGGCTAGACCCAGTGTCACCGAGTGCAGGAAACGTGTTTCAGAATGGAACGGCATGGCCGGCCTCGCGTATTTCTGACGCTAATCTGGATGATCATGGAACACAAGGAGAAGTTGGTGGGTTGGGAGTCATCAGCCTGCAACCTAGAGCTGCACGGCTGCTGTAAGTATCAGGGGACATGGATTCAGAAACACTAACCCATGCGACATCCCTCGAGTATAGAGCAGCTAGCTGCACAAGCCACCAGGCAGAAAACCCAAGGAACCGTGACCAACACACGGTCGACGCGAGACACATGGCCCTCGCAAGCATTACTCTGTACAGTGCAAGCAGCACGAACAAAGCTCTAGGTCACAAACACCCACGATAGAACCCCCGACCTAAGTGGTACAACACCCAGAGTCATCCACGCCACTCCGAAGGCACCATTCAGTATGCAGTAATCCATTGCTCATCACCCGAGAGAGATCCTCATACCAGTCGTCGCCCATCTCATGCAGCCGTTGTCAGCACCGTCGATCAGTGATCAGTCTACTTTCTACCAAGGGTAGAAGGCAGCACGCACAACCAAGTCACACAGACACCAAATCCGCACCACCGTTCGAGACCGGGTACCATGCGCATATCGCCTCATGACACACGGGGGACCCTTCTGGGAAGCCCAACACCTACGTCGGTAGGCAGGTTACATATACCAGGGAGCCCAGCGGTATGCCCCCTGACTTCCATCATCCAACCCTACACGCGAGCCGTCGGGTGAACCAGCCTGGAAAGATCAACACCGAGCCATTCCAGATACACCCCTCGAACCAGCACCACCCATACCTGCGAGGCAAGGAACTCACGGAATAATGTATCGCTATAACAACTAGTCAGCCCACCACATAGATACGGCGGTCCTCGCTTACCCAGTATACAAGGAAGCATGTCATGTCATCGAGCGACCAACAGGTCGCAGCCTGAGTCCTAGCTCCCAAGCGTTGGCCACATCATCCACAGATAGCACAGCCGAATGTCGACAGTCACCCTCCGAGAAATTTACCACTATCTGGAGTGGAGAGTATCTATCGCGCACTGGCAATGCTTCGATTGAGCGATATGGAGAAGCCACTGAGGGGGATGATTGACACAGCTGAAAGCTGGCACCTGTAGGTTTTTTTTTCTCGGGGCCTTCTAATGCTCAGCCGGGCACACATGGCTCGTCTCGAATATTCTGCTATTTAGTCCTGGTAGAGTGTCGAAGCTGATTTAGCTTCAAGCTTTATATAGGGTCATAAATGCAAAAATCATGCCATTCCTCAACAACTGGTTGTGTAGTGTAATGGTTAGCACCCAGGATTCTGATTCCTGTAATCCCGGTTCGATCCCGGGCACGACCTTTTTGCATGTTGAATTTCCAGCCTGGGATCGAACATCCTTTCGAAACCAATTGGATCGATCTTTTTTTTGCCCAATTGCCAGACTCCCGGCCCGGCACTAGAACATGCCCTGCCAATCGAATCGAAGTCGCATCGTGATTGTGCGGGGGGGTTTAAAATCCGGAGATCTTCCCGAGATATGCGGATAACGGCTGTAACAAGCAGAACTCTAAAAAAGTAAATTAACCTTTGACTCATACCCATTACCCTTTCATACATTTTCAAACCCACCTGTATCACCTCATATACCTCTGCACTTTTTTTTTCAGGACAAACAATACAAAATAAGGTCCACAGCACAAACAGAACGACCTCGACTCTTCACGTCACAACACATCCCAACCCCTCCACCAAAATGCCTTCGAAATACGACCTCATAATCCTCGACTTCGACGGCACGATCTTCGACTCCCACGAAGCCATCTACACCTCCATGCAGCGCACCTTCCACCACTTCCTCCCGGACCACCCGCTCCCCACCACGCAGCTCACCACCCTGATCGCGCAAGGCCACAGCCCCGAAATCACCTTCCGCGCTCTGCTGGACCCATCCACCACCCTAGAGACCTTCGACGAACCCACCTGGATCACCACCTACCGCGCCCTCTACAGCCAACACGGCCAACCGCTCACGAAACCCTACCCGGAAGCCTACGCGCTCGTGCGCGCGCTCACGCAGACCCACCGCATCCCCGTGGCCATCATCAGCAACAAAGCCGTGGGCGCCCTCACGACCGCGCTGGACCGCCACGGGTTCCTGGAGTTCATCCCGGAGGCGCTGGTCCTCGGGGACGGGGTGTTCCCCGGCGGCAAGCGGAAGCCAGATCCCGCCGGGTTTGTGGAGGGGTTGGTGCCGCGGTTGCGGGAGTATTTCTCTACTTCTGGCCGAACTGCGGAGTGGTTGGAGAGGGACGGGGGTGTCGATATGCGGCGGGTGCTGATGGTGGGCGATACGATTACCGACATTCGATTCGCCGAGAATCTGGGGTGTCCGGTTTGTTGGTGTCGTTTTGGGCAGGGGGATAAGGCGGAGTGTGAGGCGGCTGGGCCGGAGGTGGTGATTGATGGGTTGGGGGAGTTTGTGGGGAAGGTTCTTGGGGGGGAAGGGGAGGGGAGGTGAGTGATGGGGTTGAGGGGTGGGCAAGGCAGTGGGTATATACTTGGATTTAGAGCTAGATTTCGAGTAGAGGAGGGGATGAGTTGATATAGGTATGTATAGATATGGTTGTGTTGATTGATGGGAAATTACAATCATAGAGCAGGCTGAAACCAGGATGACATCCCCGCCAGCGTGGTGGCCCTGCTTGTTTGCGCTGCTTCTAAAAAATATGTCTATCTCCTGGTGGGAAGTGTTGTCTGATCCTCTGGTGTGATCCATGATAATACCAGGATCCAACGGGAAGCCCACGGATGGACTCGCACCATCTCGAACCTTGAAATGACTCACTTCCAGGCCACAGAAGGATTTTCCTCTGAGAGAAGAAGGGGGAAAAAGAAAAGGGAAAAAAAAGAGCCAATACTCATCTTTTGACATTGCAGAGAGAAGAGGTCAAAAAGGTCGTGCCCGGGATCGAACCGGGATTACAGGAATCAGAATCCTGGGTGCTAACCATTACACTACACAACCTTAATTGCTAGAGAGCCTGGAAATATTTACTCATAATCCAACTCCAAGCTGTAAGCAATCTGAGGGCTGAGGGGTGGGCTATATGGAACGATTCTTGAATTCTTGGAGGTTCTTGGTTGCTGCGACTAGTTTGGTTCTCCGCGTGTAAACGAGAGGTGAAGACCTTTGGTTCATGTGGGCTGGATTACTCAGAAACGCCGACACCCAACCACCTCAACAGAGTCGTTAGAGTCGCCAACTTATTCTCATTTGTTGCCGTCCCACGGCATGGACCAGTACCTAGCTAGTTTGAGCGAGCAGCGAGACACAGAGCCTCGCGGAAGCATTCAAAGCAGAGAGAAACAATTTCTCTAGAAAGCCACCAGCGTATATCATTTCATTTATCTCAACACGGCTGTGCTTGTGCTTGTACATCGTGGAGAATCTAGCTAACATATTACGTCTGTACATTCGTTATACATCAATGCCTAAAAGCTAGTATAAAACAGCATCCGAAGTAACATATATCCCGCTCTTTCACGAGAATAGATGACAGGGGCCAAAGCCTTCGAGTACAGCAATGGCCCAAGGGTGAAAAGGAAGGGAAGTGTATGCTCTGATGGAGGCAACAGCCTCGGCTGAACGGCGCCAGCGCCAGCAGTGTCACCCGTTCGTGTCGACCCCTCAAGTGACAGGTCTAGATTGACGGAGGTGATTGAGCAGCCAAGAAGCGATGGTATCAGTTGATCGGCGACAGGAGAAAAACCGTAACCCATCAACCCTGATTGTACATCGCGGACGGATCATCCAACAAGGGGCTTCCCGGAACTGCATCGAGAGCCACTGCGTGAAGTGCCGGCTTATCTGCTTCAAGGAGAAGCCCCTTTTCACGACGCTCGAGCCTTTCCTTCACCCATTCTGCCACTTCTGGGTCCTCAGTCGAAGGCGAACCCCCGGATCCAGAACCATTGACTATCGGCGTGACCTCTTCATTCGCTCCGTCCGATTCGCCCGGGGGTTGCATGAGCGAGGATAGCCAGGGGTGTCGAAGAAGCATGTTATAAGAGGGGCGGTTATTCGGATTCTTATCCAAGCAGGCGCGGACAAAGGCATGCGCTTCTTCCGAGTATCCGGTTTCAGGAAGGGTGGGAGCATCTCCATGGACAATCGCCTGAAGATCACATGTTAGAACCGGTAAAATCCCGAAGAACACTAGGTAGGGTGTTATGAGTACTCACGTGTAGTTGACTGAAAATGTTGTTGAAGGTCTCTGGTGGGTAAGGGTAGCGGCCGATGGCACACTCAATGATGGATAGACCCAAGCTCCACACATCGCTCTGAACACTGTAAGTTCCACCTCCACTGGAACCAGACTGTTGGACGCCGCCACCAGCGATACGCTCGGGCGCCATATAACTCTGGCATCCAATATTCGTCTTGGCAATACTGGCGACAAGGTTACCGCTCACGCCGAAGTCACAGATCTTGATCTGTCCACGCGAATTGATTAGGATATTCGTGGGCTTGACATCGCGATGAATGATATTGTGGTCATCCTTGAGCGTTCTCAAACCCATGACTGTGGACAACGCGACCTTCCGAAGGATATTCTCCGGGATACCCTCCTTGTAGATCTTGTCGATTGAACCACCATCCATGTACTCAACGCAGATATATACCGCTCCTTCCTGGAAGAAGGCGCCGTAGAAGTCAATGATGAACGGCGAGACACACCGATGCAGAATGTCCAACTCCATAATGATTTGCGCGAATTTGCTCTCGTCTAGCTCTAGACGGATTTCCTTCATCGCCATGACAACACCAGAGAGCGAATCCTGCGAATTCGCTGCCCCGTTCTGCTCCGTTGGGCGACTGACAATTCCTCGCAACCCCATGCCGGGCTTGCGCATGTGCGGCCGACTATGTCGAACCTTATAAACAGTGCCATAGTTACCCTTGCCCAGTTCATCCAAGCGGTCGACCTCGTCTAATGATATGCTGAAACTTTGGCCCGAGGAAAATTCGATTCCACCGCCGTGGAGAATTGCTTTGTTCTTGAAATTGAGCGTCCCCGCTTTCGTGTCGATGAACTCAGAGTACCTGCTGAACGCTGTCTCCTGCTTTCCAGATTCACCGTTAGACTGTCCATCTGGGGCAGGGCTGTTCGAGCCAGTTGCATCAGAGAGCTTGAGGCCGGGCTTCATGCGTTTTGCTGCCAGGCCACCCGGTTTCGGCGAGTTTGTAGGCGACCCATGAGGGACAGAGGGAGATGAAACCCAATTCTTGGTGCCCGGCCGGACCGCCCCAGGAGGCAAGCGGCCCGCGAAAGCACCACCGAGAGATCCGTTCGCGGCGGAAGGCGGAGACGAAACGGGGCTAGCGATAGAGGTGGATGGTGAGGAGGCTTTAGGCACGAAGTTAGTTGTATTAGCATGTGTCAGACTCGGCGGCGCTCCTTGTCGAGATAAGGAGAATGCCTTCATTTTGGCCAAAATGTCCTGATTCAATCCTCCCGGCTGCGCGCCACTCATCGAAGCTTGGGGACGAGGGACGGTGCCGACTCCTCGTCGAGCTGCATTGATCTGACCCAGGTGCGTCGAGGAGGGGTTGATTGTGGGCTTATCCATAGTCGGTCGCAAGGATGGTACGGAAGCGTATGACTGCGTAGTAGCCAGAGACGGAGAGAGATCGTCGTCCGTAGTGTCAGACCTATTATCAATGTCTGACATGGTGGGCTTTGCAGTCGAGATCTCAGCCAGGAGCTCTCGTTCAGTGTCCATGAGAGATGATCGATGTACGAGGAATGCGTGCTGTGAGATCCAGAGGCGCGTAATTGGCTAGCTGAAGGCCGGTAGCCAACACCGTGTGGGATCGCGGACTCGGGAGAGTCGGGATATCTTGAATTGAACGGGAGGGCGGGGGAGGCAAAGTCGGAACGATTGGGAAATAAGGTGTCGAAGTCAATTGCGACTTCGATTGGTCTCGCTAGTTTTCAAAAGTGTAGTGTTTTTTTTTCCTTGCAGCAGGTGTGCAGAAGCGAGCTACCGAAGCGGATCTGAAAGCAAGAAAACAAGGCAGGATTTCGTCGACGCGGGGCACACCTCAGGCCATTCCCGAGGGAGAATCGTCTATATCAATCCGGTAAGAGCAGACGGCAGGCAGAGTCCCGGATGGAGACGACTCGTAGTAGGGGAAGAAGAAAGTCCCAATCTTATGGAAATGGTAAAGTGCAGAAAAGGGAAGAAGCTAGAAGAGACCGAGACTAGAGGAAGAGTTGAAGTTGGAAAGAAAGGGAGGAGTTGAGCACGTTTGTTGGCTGGTGGTGGGGTGAACTGAGGGGCGCTGGAGTCGAGAATCAAGGACAAGGCACAGACGGTGGAGAGGAAAGAGGGGAGGAGGAGAGTAGGAAAGGAGGAGAGGAGGGGGAGGAGGCGGAGCGAAAGTAGTCGAGATTCCGAGTCTAAAGGGTGAAAGCGAAAGAGGTGAGGAAGAGGAAGAAGAGTGAAGAGGGAATTAGAAAGAAAGGGAAGATGGTGGATGGAGACGAACGGAGATGGGGAACCAGAGCAGGCAAGAGGAGCAAGAACTGGAACTGGTCATGAGCTAATGAACCGTTAATATAATAGCCCCTCGTCCGCCCGCCGCCGCTGTCGTAGTGGAACTGGAGGGATCGGATATGATAGCCAGAATAACTATAATAAACCACGCAGTATTTAAAGCAAGCTGGCAGCCGCCCATAAAGTCAAATAAAACAACCAGAAAAGCGATCAAGCAATCAAGCAACAACAACTAATTCAGCAAGCGAGCAAGCAAGCAAACGACGAGGTTGGGTCAGGACGGAAGCTGAATCTTAATATGGATGGATTATGGTATGGTAGCGATAGTTAAGTTAGTTGTTAGTTATCAATGAATAGGCATTGATACTTGATGATCAGCCATAACGTACCCTAATTAATTATACATAAAAAGAGACGAAAAAATCATAATATTAAAATCGCGACTGATAAGGGAAGATACATACTCATGTACATGTTCATAACACTGTCAGTCGACGCAAAACTGGATTCCCTCCCTGTTTGTTCATCTTGTGATGAGAAGCGCCTCAGGCTTCCCTCGTCCCGTCCGACCGCCAATTACACGTGCCCCTCAGGCACATTTCACTTTAATCAACTGATACTAGCCTAGATTGAGTAAAATGCCTTGCTTCAAGTCCCTTTCATCATTGTCACTGACTCCATCACCATCACTACTACTACTACTACCACCACCACCACGACCACCACCACGACCACCACCACGACCACCACCACCACTACCATCATCATCATCATCCATCATCACCTCTTACCACCCCTTCTTTTCTTTTTAAAAAACAATTCTCTTTCAATGCTCATTGTACACCCCCACTCGATTCAAATGCTGCTGCTCCTTCCACCTTACCTCTCACTCCAAACTCTCCGCGTATCTCCCCCCGCCACCCCCCACACCGAACTCTGGCCGCACGCAGGTATGAGTATCTATGGTCCTGCACTTGGGGCGATCCAAAAAGAAAGTCATTTCTGCCTGAAAATTGCCACCCCTCATCGACCGATGGATCACCGTTTCGTCGACATCAGAAATAGATAGACTGGGTGGTGATTTGCGGAGATACTGAGTATGTGATAATCTCTACCTCAGGGACATCAAAGTAAAAAGGCGTCCGGTGGATCGGCGGATGTGATGCCCTACCTACCGGACTCGCTGCCGAGGCGCAAAGCCTGAAAAAGTCGCTGTTGACGATGGTCACTGATGGATGGAACCGCTCGTTTGCCAATCATTGTAACCTGGTCTGGGAGAACCAACGGACGAGGTCGCGTTACGAAACGACTACCACCGTACTGCTCCTTTTTTTTTGTAACTGACAATTTCCCTGCTTCGGCGAGGTAAGAGCACTGAGCCCGATGCCGTTGCTCCCCGCTGCTGCAATCGCCGGGGACCAATGGAAGGAGCACGACAGAAAGGCTAGTTCCGAATCGTGATACCAGGGCGAGGGATGACATCCAACGGGGAGGGCCGACATCATCGGTGGGTGCCAAGCACCCTATAGGATCCTCGTCCCAACTACCGGGTCTGCCTTGGAGGCCGCGTGGTCCGTCCATTCTGTCAGAGACAAATTGGATTTTAGTGGGAACACGGCCATAAGACTACTCATACCCATACAACTGTCAGGATTAGGAGATTCGGCCATCACAGTCAATCATCAAACCTAACTACGAGTATAACCTACTCGGCTTGCCTTACTTGAGTAGTCATCAGCACTAACTAACTTACTAGATTCCTCAGTCTTAGCTATCAACCCGCCTTGTGGCTGTGGTTGGCCTAAGGATCAACCCACCCAGCCCCCATGATCATAGTCTAGGTACTGTGTAGTTATCGCTTGTAATCCTGGTATTTCCAGGATGGCATGTCCGATGGCAGTTTCTGATCGATCACCAGTTCAGTTCTCAATGCGACAGAGCAGAAAAAGACCGGGCAGTTGGCCATCCCTGCATCTTCACAGCAGCCCAATTGGGAAGGCTACCAGTCCATTTTCTAGCGGGTAACACTGGGCCTGCCCTGCCCCAAGGTGCCAAACGGACCCTGCTGGGGCTGGCTGCTGGGGTTGATCTGGCGGCCGCCCTATAGCAGCAGCTGCTATGACTACGTATCATTTGCAGTGAACTGAGACATGGGGGAAGCTGCTGCGGAAAAATTCCCATCCTCTTTTCTAAGGTTTTCTTTTTTCTTTTTTTCCCCTTTGCTTTTTTCTTCTCTTGCGCATCATATTACATTCTCCCATACAAAAGAAGGCGTGGTATCAAACAGTGTCAAAAGTACGAAAATAAAGAACAGGATATCCTGAACTACTGTAGAGTTTACGCAGGTTCGTTTAATGACCGACGGCTGATGCAGCAACTAGCGAGGACGATCGTCGGGAGGGAATGTCACCTAGAGCAATTGAACGATGAGTGGGAATATGACCACAGCCGATAGACATGCAGTGATCCATCTATCCACGGAGTACCTATCTGCAATCTCTGAAGCCTTGAGACAACCCACTTTTTACATTTTGGGTTTCACATGGAAGGGATTCTAATCGGGTGATTGTTGCCGTGCGTCGAATTGCCTGTCATTGGCTGCTGATCATGACATAACCACGGGGGAGGGTTTCATCATCATGATACTATCAATCTTTTTCCTCGCATTCCGTATCAACTGCACTATGTACATACTGTACTAGTACTATACAATATTGTCAGTGTAGCCAAGGGACACATTTCAACCACCCTTGCTGGTGGCTATCTCTGCCTTTGTCCGCCAAGGGTGGTGGCTATGACTTCACCCTCCATGGTTCCGTATCACCCTGCCAAGCAATCCTATTGGATCACCCTTTGGAGGGAGAGGGAGGTAGGAGGCTGTCAAGACGAGAAAACAGCCGAGAAACAAGCGAGCAAGTACTACTGCTTGTATAAGACATGGGTATCAGAGGCTATCGACCACACACAAGTGCTTCAGCACTCGTGGGAGTCTAGTCTACGCTATTTTTGCCAGTCTAGAGCTGGAAACCCAAGCTGCCTTGGCACGGCTGGGCGCGATGGACCGCGCCCCCCTTGACTCCGCCTATCGGAGGCCACTGTACGCCCTGGCGTTACCCGAAACCAGCTATCAAGGGTTTGTCCATTCTTTATTCGACCTAAGCGGTTATCGTAAGATTCGGGGGGATGCTGAGTAGGTGCTGCAATAGGATTACTCTCATACAATAACTAATTTATCGTATGGCAACATAAGTACTCCGTACTAGTGTTTGAGTCCTGAAATTCTGAGTACCTTGACTAACTAACTGTACCTTAACTTTGTACTCCTACTATTGAATCAGATCAGCGGAGATCATTATTTGACACCGAGCAACACTGCCTACAGGGCGAGAAAAACGCTCTAAACCCAAAGCAGCTCCAACCTTAATTGACCTCTCATTCGTCCACCGCCTTCTCCGTTATCTCAAAGAATCTCATCATCGACCAGTCTGGTCCGCGTCATCGCCCTCACTTACCATTGGAACACACCCTACTCTTCCCCCCTCCTCTCTCGCTCTCTATTCTCCAGGATCCCGATCTCAAGTTACCATCTCCCGTTCATACCTTCACTTTCTGCGTTACAGTCAAACCCGTCTCACCCTATTGCCCATCCGCCCGCCCGCCCGTCGATGGCCATTTTTACCTCTCCCAGGTCCCTTCAGAATGCTCACTCGCCTCTATCGCCTCAAATCATGACCCAGTCCCAACCGGGACTGGGCTCCGTCATCTTCCCAAGTGGCGCTCCCCATTCAAATCACCCATCCTTCTTTCACCTCGTGCTGCTCGTCTTCGAAGCTGTCCTCGAGGTAGTCTGTGTCAGTCTCCCGGGATACTTCGCTGCCAAGCAGGGTCTGTTCGACGCCGATGCTCAGAAATTGGTCGCAAACCTAAATGTTACGCTGTTTACACCGTGTCTGAGTATGTCGAAAAACATAACACACTGTCCAAGCACCTTGGGTTGTTGCTGACTGTGCTGGTCTTAGTCTTCACTAAGCTCGGATCTCAGCTCACAGCAGAAAAGCTGACCGACCTCGCCATCATCCCTGCCATCTTCGTTGTTCAAACAATCGTGTCGTACTCGTGTGCCTTCGTCGTCTCACGATGCTTGCGGCTCAAGAAACGACCGTCCAACTTTGTTGCGGCCATGGCGGTAAGTGCCACAGTCCCTGGACGAAGCTTCATTTTCCCTTGAGCGCAGTGTTGACCATCCCGATTGCTGCAGGTCTTCGGAAACTCTAACTCGCTTCCTATTTCTCTTGTCATGTCCCTCTCGCAGACCCTGCAGGGCCTCCACTGGGATCGTATACCAAACGACAATGATGACGAAGTGGCGGCGCGTGGTATTCTTTACCTTTTAATTTTCCAGCAGTTGGGCCAACTTGTGCGCTGGAGCTGGGGCTACCACGTCTTGCTTGCTCCCAAAGAACGGTACTTGGAAGAAGGCGAACGGGGGCAGGGCGCCAACCTCATCGGACAGGGCCAGGAACGATACACAGACAACCCTGAACAGATTGATCCCGATGAACCTCTAGTGAGGACTCGCGAGTCGGACGATGTGACGGAGTCCTCGGGAAGCGTCGACGACGATGCATTCACTTCCGGGCAGGAGACGCCCGTGAGCGTGCGGGACTATCCCTACACGAAGCTGCCGTCTCATGGCGCCGGTGAACACGGATCCATCGACCCTACCGTACTTGGACCCCCTCCCCAGGGGCCATTCCTCCCCCGCCAGAGCACTACCGGCGACATCATGTGTTTCCCGAATGTGGAGGTGGCAGCTCAGGCCGAAGAAAACCAGCCCGGAGCCATCCCGCGCATCAAGAGGTCGGCCAACCGGGTTCGTGGTCAGATTGCAGGCGTCTGGAACAAGGCCGCCGGCACAGTTTTCCGACGACTGCCTGTGGGCGTGCAAAAGACGCTGAAGGTTGGTTCCAACGGTGCCCGGAAATTCGCCCACGGACTCTGGGACTTCATGAACCCACCCCTGTGGGCTATGCTCATCTCGATCATAGTGGCGTCCGTTCCCTCGCTGCAAAGCCTGTTCTTCGATGAGGGAACCTTCGTCCGCAACTCAGTGACGCGAGCTATCAGCCAGAACGGCCAAGTTGCCGTACCATTAATCTTAGTGGTGTTGGGTGCGAATCTCGAGCGTAACACGTTGCCAAAGGAGGCTCTCGAAGACGTCGATCATCCGAGGGAGGAGAAGAAGCTGATCATCGCTTCATTGGTGGCGCGTATGGTGCTGCCCACCCTCATCATGGCACCCATCCTCGCGCTGCTGGCCAAGTACGTGCCGGTTAGCATTCTGGACGACCCGATCTTCATCATCGTCTGCTTCCTGCTCACGGGCGCCCCATCGGCCCTGCAACTGGCACAGATTTGTCAGATCAACAACGTCTATGTCAGCGCCATGTCGAAACTGTTATTCCAGAGTTATGTGGTGTGGTACGTACCAGCGTCTTCGACCTTCAAGCAACCAGAATCAATGACTGACCATGAACCTGCAGGATCCTACCCTCCACTCTTTTCCTTGTAATGTGTGCCTTGGAGGTTGTCGAGTGGGCTTCTGCTTGATCTTCGGATGTTCCTATTTCTTCTTCTCTTTTCTTATCTTCTTTTCTCCTATTTTGTCGCTTGGGAAGGACCATTGCATTACCTGCTGTTCAACTACATCATTATTCCACTGGGGGTTCTGCGGCGTTAGTTTGGGTCAAGCACATAGGTTCAAGAACATGTTGTGTTGTGTTTCGGTTTGCCCTTTTCTGTGTTAATATTCCCCTCAAGTCTCGTCGTTCTTGCACTGTTTATGTCGGTAGTAGCCAGCAATTACTCGGGGGTGGACGGGAAAGAATACCCAGATCGAATCCATCAACTCGGATATGATCTGAGATTGAGCTATTCAAAAGTCAAGTCATCGGACCTTAGCTTTCTTGCGAGAATCGAGGAAAAGAGGGGCAAGCAAAACCCTCCAGAATTTCCCAGACCAGACGAACCTCAAACCATGGGTTCCTGCTTGTGCAAACTGTATCAAAAGTATTGTTAGTGTCAGGAGGTAGGGACAATCCAACTCGAGTCCTCAGTCTCTCCAATGTGGTTTCAGTAGTCGGTACTCCGTTTCTTTTGTTGCGGGCACAGTGAGCAAGCCCCTCTATACTCGATTCAGATCGAGACAGTCGACCATCGGTATAAACACAACCCCAGCAACATCCAAGAAAACCCATTTCTCTCGTACGGCACGAGGAACATACCCAACTAGAGAGACAGGAGGGAGGGATAAGCAAGCAGCAGAGGAGAGAAAAGTCTATGGGTGTGTGTATGTCTATGTCTCTGTACAATATGTACTGTACTTCCCCTCCCCGGTGATTAGCTTCCCCCTCCCCCAATCCCCTTTTCCCGGGGTGTCGCGTGCCGGGATGCAGGCCGCTTGTGAGGTGTCATGCGCGGCCTGCCTTGTTCGGCGTTGGTTGACCCCCCGCCCCCTCCTCTTTGGGTCTGACTCCATGGTTAGGTTGGTATGAGGGATTTAGGGTGGGTGAAGTAGATGAAGGAATGAACTCGGTGCGTGGGTGCCGTCATCGCGCAGTACGGTATGCGTGTGGTATGCTGTGTGTGGTACAATAGTGATGAAGTATATCTATGCGGTTGATCGGCGATTGTGCGCCCTCACTACAGTGTAACTAATTAGGAGGTCTGTGCCGATGTACCCAGTATTGTAACTATGCCGGTCGGTTGCGAAATAAGGACTCTTTGTTGGCAACTTGCCTTGTAAGTTAAAGGGTCGGTGAGGGATAGATAGATACCTTACTATGAGAGATTGGCTTACCTAGTATGTGACGGTTGGGATTTCGGGGCCATGTTTCGAGGTTGTGCGATGAGACATTTCATGCTCTTCGTGATCAGGTGGGGTTTTATCGAAGTAATAACCGTTTCTAAGTTCAAGACTTTTAAGGGGAAATAAAAAAAAAAGAAAGAAAGAAAGGCAAGTATCCAGCCCACGGTAGACAAAAAGGTCAGAAGTCAAAAAGGTCGTGCCCGGGATCGAACCGGGATTACAGGAATCAGAATCCTGGGTGCTAACCATTACACTACACAACCTATTTTGTTGAGAGATTTGTCATCCTCACGACAAACAAAGACAATCAAATGTAGCTAGTCTCTACTAATATATCATCCCAGCTTTGGATTGGCAATTATGACAGGTTGGGGGGATTGATTTGTGGTAAAAAGAACTCAAGCTTCGAGATCCGCACTTTCCCGAGGCAGATAGTTCCTAGGTTACATCAATCAAAAAGCAAACAGTATCTATCAATACTGTTATATTTTCGGATCGTATGAGAACTTTCTTGCCCCCTTTAAAGCTGGGACAGCATCAAGGAGGGCACGAGGAATCTTGCAGAGGAATTGAATGAACCGATAAGACAGAATCTAAATAAGTCTGCGTCAAGTTATTATGCAAAAAATGTCCACGGGGGAAGGGAAGGAAGCTTGCCCGATGACTTCACACGATTCGACACACTGGCATCGCCCTAAATCCAGAAGCAGACTATCGACCGGTGTCCTTGACCATAGCTCTGAAGAAATCTTGCTAGAAAACGTGATAGAGGAGCTTCAGACCAAGTACGTAGGCAGAGCACACTGCTTATGTACATTAATGTATAGTAAACCTATGCACCGGACCATGTCAATCGCCCCGTCAACCAAGTGCAGTACTCGGGTTGAGAAGCTAGGCTACGCATTGAGCAACGCAGGTTACGATGCGCGTCGGAGTGAGCCCAGCGCGCTCCAACGACAATATGTAGCCGTATGAAGTTTGTCCATGAGTCGAAGAGAAGAGGGGAATCACCTCAACACGATCTATTTGAATGCAAGGGTGCTTCCTCAAGGAAAGAACGGGATCTTGAGGTATATACATGGCTTGTGGTCGTGGCGAGCAGGTAGACGCTCGGGTGCTCATGAGCTAGAAGCTTTGAAGAGAGAGAATGCGAGTGTGTGCTATCGCCAAGGTTAGTCTCAAGTCATGCTGCAGTCAAATGCTCGTCCCTCAACTAGATCCCAAACTCGGTCAACAGGCACATGAACCACTACCAAATCACCGAAGCAACGAGCTGGTAACTATACGTAGGACCAGCATATACAATCCAGAGGTGGGTGCGCATGAACTGTATGTCTGGCATTCATTATAGTGCCTCGGACCAGGCGACGATAAAACCGACGAGATCGCATTCAGCACTCGACTCGCCGCGAAGGTCATTATTCTACTGGGTCGATCGCCCGGCCCGTCCGTCACCCCACCCAGCCGAAGTCGTGTGGATCCATGATAGCAAAATCTTGCCGATGATGCTTGTACTTTTCAAGCGGATGCTCAGTACTGAGACTTCAAGGTCATGATGTTATCTCGGAATCGCCCTGACAAGAGAAGGTGAGGCGAATGTGCCTCGTCACAAGCCACACCACGATGATCATTTATCGCATCACGTCCACAACACAGGACAGGAGAATGATTGGATCACTGCATTCCGTCAAAACCGGCTATTCTGCCACCATCGCCAACCCTCACAAGGCATTGTCACAGAAGCGAGCCAATCGTGCAAAGTACAGACATCAACAGGCAACAGCCGCCGAGCTGGGCTCAACGAGGCAAGTGGCGCTGTGAGCTTGTCTTCTGAAGCGCCGATCGTACTTCATGGCCAGTTAGTGACACGGCTAGTGGAAATCAGCTGCGCCAATGATGGTGGGCGAGGCGTATGATTCAAGTTATGACACCGTCGGTCGCGTCGACCTCGCGGGAAAGGCCATCTGCCGATCGGTGCAAAGGAATCAAGGTCGTCGTATGATAAGTCCCAGGGTCATGATAAGCCCAGCTTGGCTAAACTTAGCATCCGCACTGTGCAGATCATAGCATCAGACTTCGTGTTGACCGCTGGCTGAACTGCCTGCCAACCACCAAGGGAGCTGTTGGGGGCTGAGGACAGATCTCGCTTGCAGGACCTGAACAATGATATAGCACAATCGAGCCGACGGAATCCGAAGTGCCCTTTGGCTGGGTTGAAGGGTGACCCTGACAGAGCTTATCAGTTCAGCATGGGTTGTGTTGACAGCTGCAGCTGATACCGCGTCATCGTGCAGATCCACTTATCCTGGGTTCACTAGCCCCCTACAGACCGGCCTCGGCTCGCCCCGCCACAGAAGAGAGTGAGGGGAAGGAGAAAGAAGAGCCGGATTCCATTGCCCTCAGCTGAGAGGAACGGAATAGATTGAATGCATGACGTGCGAGGGGAAATGGGCGATGCCTTGTGGTGGGTTAGTTGGAGCAAGAACTGAAGTGCCGGAGAAGGAGCTGAAGGATAAATAAAGACCACTTGTGGTTCAAATCCCTTCTTTTTCCCTCTTGCTCTCGCCTTTTCCTTCCTCCTCTCTCCAATCTTTCAGCTTGCCAACTATTTTTTCTTCCCATTAAACACATATTGACTAAATTTCAATTGTGAGATATTCTGACTTACCCAATTGCCCCATCATGGCTACCAAGATCCGACTTATCCCCAACCTGAACTACAAGAGGTCGGGCACAAAGTCCTACGTGCACCTCTTGCGCAAGTACCGCTTCAATACAACCAAAGAAGGCCCTTACTTCTTCGCTCCTACCCTTCACCAGGTCGGTCGGGTGTACCACGACAAGCCTATCGGTGGCAAGGCACATGTGCGGCGGGCGCTGAAGAAGCGCACGGTGGGCACTGACCAGGTCGGTGAAGTTAGTGCCGAGGACGTGCAGAACGATTCAGAGTACCTGGCTCAAGTGAGCATTGGTACCCCGGGGCAGACTGTGAGTCTGGACTTTGACACTGGCTCAGCGGACTTGTGGGTAAGTCAAGCACCAGATCTATTGCTCACTATACCTCTCTCCCCTTCCCCAACAGCCAATACCCTTATGTGTCCGGAGGAGTCAGCATCGCTGAGAAGAATCAAATAGGTCTGGTCCACTAAGCTCCCCTCTGCCACCATTTCCGAGTATGGCAAGAGCCACAATGTCTTCGACCCGTCCAAGTCGAGCACTTTCAAGGAGAAAGATGGTTACACGTGGCAGATCTCGTACGGCGACGGCTCCTCTGCGTCGGGTACGGTCGGCACCGACAACGTGGATATCGGCGGCATCACCATCAAGAACCAAGCCGTCGAGCTGGCCGAGAAGATGTCGACCGAGTTCGCCCAGGGTGCCGGTGACGGGCTGCTGGGGTTGGCGTTTGGCAGCATCAACACCGTCCAGCCCGAGGCCGTCAAGACGCCCGTCGAGAGCATGATCGCGCAGGATGACATTCCGGACTCGTCTGCTCTGTTCACGGCCAAGCTGGGCTCGTGGCGGGATGCCAACGAGCCCGACAAGGGCGAGTCCTTCTATACCTTTGGGTTCATCGACGAAGCCACCGTGCAGTCGTCCGGGCAGGAGATTTCCTACACCTCTATCGACAACAGCGAGGGGTTCTGGATGTTTGAATCTACTTCCGCCACGGTCAATGGGAAGACAATCACTCGCTCCGGAAACAAGGCGATCGCCGACACTGGCACGACGCTGGCGCTGGTAGACGATGAAACCTGCCAGGCTATTTACGATGCTATCCCGGGCGCGTACTATGACAACGAGACCCAAGGTTATATCTATCCCTCCGATACCACAGAGGACAACCTTCCCGTTGTTTCATTTGCTGTCGGCGACAAGCAGTTCGTCGTGCAGAAGGAGGATCTCGGTTTCGCCGAAGCCAAGACTGGATATGTCTATGGTGGAATCCAGAGCCGTGGTGATATGACCTTTGACATCCTGGGAGACACCTTCTTGAAGGGTATCTATGCCGTAAGTTCCCTTGACAACTGGATGCCTACATTCGACCGTTGCATGATAGACTAACCAATGTCTTAGGTTTTCGATGTCGGCAACCTTCGCTTCGGAGCTGTCCAACGCAAGGAGCTGCAGCAGAACCTTACCGTGCCCTCTGAGTAATCTTATTCGACAGAAAGTATGGGTATTTCAATGAGATCATGTATGAGAAGCTTATGTATAATGAGGAATTGAATTCAGTGATGATTATCGGCAATGAGCTCTCTCTTCGTGAAACGTAAACGCAGAGTCAGAGCATAGCACACAGCGCAATACGTTGTCCATACTTAGTAAAGATGAATTCAGGAACCTGATTAGACACAAATGTGCCCAGACTTATTCAGTAATAAGGCCAGTCACCAACACTTGCACCTTCAGGTGGCCCTCTTCAGGGTACGGCGTCCCGAAATCACGCTTGAGTTCAATGGTGCTTCGGGGCGTCTCGTACAGCTCCATCTCGAACCGCCGAACAAGCGCTGCAATGACAAGGTAGAGCTCCGCGTAGGCCAAACTGTCCGAATGTTAGAGAAGGAACGAGAACTCAAATGTGGAAAACTCACTTCAAGCCCACACACATCCGACTCCCTTTCGAGAAGTTCACTAGATAGCGATCCAGACGATTCCCAGCGGCAGCGGCCCGAATCCAGCGTTCCGGCTCAAAGGCATGCGGGTCAGGAAAGATGTTGGGATCCATGAGAATGAAGTAGTGCGTCTGACCAATTGGGGTCTGGATTGTGGCCTTTGTCAGTATGCGATATCCCGGCCGATACGATCGTTGCTCGACTTACTCCTGGTGGGATTGTGTGGCCTTTATATTGCAATGCCTCCGTAGGAACGACCCGGGGCGAGAAGCTAGCGATTCCTGTGGAGAGGCGCAGGGTCTCATTGACCACGCCAGCCTAGATGAAAGTCAAAGCTAGATCTCGCGACCAAGCAACACCCATCCCGAGGAATGTGATGCTTACCATGTATGGGAGCTTTTCCAGCTCGTTCCATGTAGGGCGGGAATCCGGCGTGGGCATCACCTGCTTAAGCTCCTCTCGCAGCTTGCTTAAGATCTCAGGCCTGTCAATCAGATGATACATCCCGACAGCAAGGGATCTCGCAGTGGTCTCCGTCCCTCCAATGGTCAGTGCAAAGCCATCGTTCATCAGTCGCTGCGGTGTTTTGAGATGTTCCGGCACCTTGGGCCCTGCAATAGCTTCGATGAGTGTCGGTTTTTCGGGCTTGGAGGTTGTATGACTAGCTTTCAATGCTGCCAAGCCACACTCATAGAGGTCCTTCTTCTGGCGAGCCAATGCGTATGCGGGTGCGCTCACTTGGCGTAGCATGTTCAACGGCAACGCGTCGATGAGGGTTTGGATCCACGGAAAGAAGTAGGTGAGATGTCCCATTTGGAATAGGGCGTTGATTCCGTCCCGCACACTAGCATTGAAGCCTTCTTGATCCAGGTTGCCTGGGTTGAAGCCAAATGCATATACATGGATCACGTCGGCGGTCAAGGCGGCAAATCCAGCATCCAAATGAACTACTTTGTGTGACTCGTAGGCGTTGCGTAGAGAATTTACGAGTTTGTCAAGACTTTCATGAATAAGGTACTCGATGTTGGAGATTGCCTGCTTCGAGAAGAACTTATCCAAAGGCGCACGGCGCGGGCGATGGTCCTCATCGGTGATGCTGGAGAACCCAGAGCCCTCCAGTCCGAAGCGGGCGACTGTGACTGGATCTTTCTCGCGCTTACGAGCTCTAGATGCATAGATCTCTTCATAGTAATCTGGATCTCTAATATGTACTGTCCTCGGACCGACACGAACGATAGGGCCTGACTCGGTTAGTAAAATCTGCCTCCAAGAAAGAGTTCATCCCGCTGGGGATTCCGAAATCACCAACCATATACTTCATGCATCCTCTCAATCTCCCAGATGAATAGGCCCCCTTTGATCACATTATAATAGAACTCGTAGGCATGGGTGATCGCGGCGAGTTTGGGACCAGGAATCTTGCGCAAGGGATGGAAGTATAGTCTGTATATACTCCTCGCTATAAAGTATAGGGTGAAACCGCAACCCAACGCTGCCAGGGTTGCCATGTTGTGAACGTCTAGCACCCAATGACTGCCGACTACCCAAAATGTCGAACAGGTCAGAAGTAAAAAGGATTCCTGGGAAGAGCCGCAGACTTTTATAACAACGTGGAGACGAGCATGCTCGATACGACTGTCCCCGCCCCTAAAAAGGCCGAGACTGCTAAGATTCATTAATCCGTGACCGCTGAGTGGCTCAAGGTCGGCTAGAAGCCACTTCTCATGCTAGGAGCCAGTTGCAGCGCCGAACCATGCCAGGCGATAGAAAGCAAACCGATTGGGTAAAGTTGCATTGCAGAAACCCCGCACTTATTCCAAAGCAGCTCGATATTTATGCTTTCCAACCCTCACGATGGCTGTGCTACACTGTGAGATGTGCGTAGTGTGGAGATGGGTGAAATGCGGTCGGGCGGCCGATGAAGCGTGTCTTGACCGCCCAGGAAATAGCATCAACGGTCCTCGATACTCACACCATCGACTGTGTCCCTTCGTTTTCAACAAAGTGTTCAGGCGAAAAGACCCCTTGATTCATGTAGTACGCCATTTAGAGCATCGGCGAGCAGTGTGGACGGTCGTAATGTAGGCTTTTGATGCGAGACTGAACCCTCATTGAGCAACGGACCGTCACTACTTAATTTAGTGCCTCGGTTAGGTCAATTACAGTCAATGCCCAAGGGAGCGTGGCGGGCTCGACTTACTCTTCTGGTCTCCAACTCGCCTCCTAGCGCTGAGCTGTGTCTGACACTAGTTGATAACAGCCCGTGTCTCAGTGGTCTAATCAACGCTAATGACAAGTGGGATTTCCAATCTGTTGCCAATGTTGTGTAAGAGCGCCGTGCTGGTGATATACAGGTCTGTGGTTACCGAGCGTAAGTAAACCGTCAAGGTGTCTGCACAGAGCAGCGAAGAAGTTTACTCCAGACACTATCGCAGGCCAGATCAAGACCAGCAAGACGATGCTTTCCGCTACCAGAAAGCTGAACTGCTGCGAACGGGTGCCTGACATCTTGCCACTGGAAGATCTGTGCTGCTTGAAGTACTGAAATCGACTTTGGAATGGCGCCTTCGGACGAGTTGGTCATCTCGTTAGACGTAGTCTCAAATTGATAATCAGGGCTGACAGCAATGGTTTGTGTCTCGCTGGAGTATCAAGAGGAACACCTAATCCGCATCAATGTGTCATCATCTCCCGCAGCCTGAATGGTCAAGGCATCTTCAATGGCAGCTGAGTAGCGCTAGGCGATATTCTTGTCGCTGTATGATATATGAAGGGTTTAGCCGAAAAACATGGTACATCCAAGTATGGTACTGTGAGGATGTACTTGACGTGAAGGTTTTAGTTGGTGAAGGTAGAATCAAAATTCGAACCAAGGTGAGCTAGATTCTTGGGTGCTGAGTAGCTCCGGAAATGCAAGTACCCAGTCTTAAGGTTCTTGAGCATAAAGTGACTTTGAATGCCGAAAGATTGGCGTCAACAAACAGCTCAAGCGCTAAACCCCACCTTCCTTCCTGTTTGAGTAAGGCAGCTTAGCTTCAATCATCAATCCAAACCTCAAGTTTCATGTTCATTCTCACAAACACCTTGTACCATAAACTAGTCATTGTCTGACCCTGTCATAATCAAACAAAGATGGCTTGCACAACACATGTCGTGTATGCTTCCTCAAGGCTTCCATTCGATCTCTGCCTTTTGTCTGATGTCGTTTTCCTGAGCTCATATCTCAAGATGTGCTTTTCTGTCCAACAGTCCGATTCTCAACGCCTGCACCCAGTCAATCCTTGCACAACCTCATGGCAATCTAAATGCGTACCCGTGAGGTCAGAAGGTAGTATCTGCTGATCGGATATCGACCAGACACAAGCTGAAGGCAGGGTTATAGGGAGTATCTCCAACATTGTTTCCCTGTCAAAGTGGCGAGTCTCGCGGCCTATAACGATGATGTTTCAACATACTGCATGGGTCGGAAAATAGATGAAGAGTTTTCCTCGCTCCGAAGACAACCGATTGAGTCAAATATGGGCAGATTCCAGAAATACCAGGTGACAGACCCTAAGGGAAGGGAGGTAATCAGGTGTGTGATCCCAAAGTACAGTTCGCTACTAAAGACTAAGTAACCCGAACTGACTCCTTGTTAGGACCAGGCTATCACTGGCAATACAATGCCAAGATAGACTGCTTAGCGACCCAAGACGTGCTTCGTGAAATTCACAGTGTTTTTCCAAAGACCGCTCGCTTCCCTTCCATGGCTTGACCAGAAGCACACACGACCGGTCCAGTCAAGATTATGTTACTGGGAGGTATCGTACCTTTCGAACCCCGCCTCAATGCATCTAGCAGCTCACGCGAGGAAGTGATTGCCTGGATATGCATGGCCCTACTAGGAAACATTGATTTGTTTAAGTGGTCAAAATCACTCCTTGCTGGGGCTCGAGCCTCTTTAGGGAACAAAACCAACAGCATCGGAAATTAGTCAACGTGATCAACCCGGACTGCTATATTCTCGACTCCCTTGCCTTTGAAATGTGTTCTCACTGTGGAAATTGCTGGTTTTGATTGGCCTACCCGGGGCTGTCGAATCCGCCTACCAAGCGCCTGTGCAACCTAATCCTGAGCATTCCGGTGGACGGGAAGGCGAATTCCATTATCTAGCTAATCTTACCTAATTCCCTTGGGCACAACCACACCTAAGTCAATCAGGATCTCACGAGAAAGGAGCCTTGACGGTGTGATTGCTTAACCTTCTCCCTTTGTTGTCCAAGCAAGGACAAGAGGAAAGAGATGAGATATAAGTGCACAAGTATCCCTCAGATGGGGGATGCTCAAGAGTTCTTGTCCACCATCACATCGTCGTTCTAAGCTTGCTAGCTGCCCAGACTATGGAAATGAACCGAACATTTGAGAAAGACCCTCATGGCAAACAGTTGCCAGCAGACGTGATAGACGGCACAGTGGAAGAGACTTCGCTTGAAGATGAGGATGATGCAGTCCTACGAGCAAATGGCCATGAGGCAGTCATGCCCAGGCAGTTCAACTGGATCTCTGCTTTAGGCCTGGGGTTTTCGATCACCAACTCATGGATCGGTTATCTTGTGCGTACTTTCGGGTACTCCGAATGGTGCTTCTGCTGACACTATACCTCAATGGAACAGAGCAATTTTGGACAGAACCTGAGCTATGTCGGTGTGCTAGGCTGTATAGTTTGCCTAGTGCTCGGGTGGGCGATTCAGCTTGTCATCACCTTGGGACTCGCTGAATTGGCGTCAGCATTCCCAGTAAGGAAAAAATCCAAGCTTGCATAGAGCTATTGCTAACTCTACAACAGTCTAGCGGAGGTCAATACCACTTCTGTTACATTCTCAGTTCTAAGAGTACTCGAAAGTATAATGCTTACATCGTGGGCTGGCTCTCAGTGTTAGCCTGGTGGTCGGCAACGTATGATGCTCGCCTGCCAAAATTGTGGACTATACTGACACTCTTCTAGATGCTCAGGTATCTCACTTGGCGCGATTTTCCTCCAGGGGATTGTGTCTTACTATATCCCGGGTTATGAGGCAACTCAATGGCGTACTTACTTGATATTCCTTGCAATTGCAGTTTCAACCCGTAGGTCCCGTTACTTCTTTCCTCAGATTGTGTCATACTAAAGTCTTACCAGTGATCCCGCTGTTTGTGTCACCGACCAAGATGTCATGGGTGACGCAGTTGACGCTCTCTCTAACCTTGGCCGGGTACCTTGTTTATCTCATCACCGCTCTAGCGATGCACGACCACGTACAGGGTAAGTCATTTGCAGTGGCATCCAATCGCGCAAACAGCGGGTGGAACAGTGGTGCGGCCTGGTTGCTTGCCATAAGCAATGCCATGTATGCATTTGCTTCCGCAGACGGCGGTAAGAATAGCAACTTTCACCGATTTGGTTTTGAACATTGTTGACTTTAACAGCCATACACATCTCTGAGGAGATACCACGACCAGGGAGACGTGTCCCGCAAATCATGATTATGACAGAAGTCATTGGTATCGTAACCAGCCTTACGATGATTGTGGTTCTTCTGTACTTTGCCTATGATTATGAAGCCATCCGAGACTCCCCACTTCCTAGTCTCGAATTGGTGTACCAAGTGTTAGTTTGTTACTAAGTTTTTTTTGCGGGCGCTCTGACCTTCATCAACAGGACTGGAAGTCGAAACGCCACCCTCGGTCTACTCATTTTGCTTTGGGCAATCTATGTTTGTATGACAGCCTACTGATTCCCCTCACTATACTTTGATCGAGAGCTAACCCAGTGAAGCATGTATACCACCGCAGTGGGTGACCTCTGGTCGGATTGCCTGGGCACTGGCTCGCGATGTAAGTGCATGCAGCATGGATACGAGCACAATCTCAAGCCAAGGAGTACTGATCATTTCTATAGGGCGGCACACCTTTTCCAGAATATTTTACCAAAATCAGCCCGAAACTTGACTTCCCCGTGCGTACTACGCTTGCTTCCTTCGGGTTCTGCTCCATCTACGGCCTCCTTTACCTCGCGTCCACCACGGCTTTCAACTCGATCATTAATGCCGCCGTCCTCTTCCTCAACTTGACATACATTATTCCCCAAGGGTTGCTTTTGTTACGAGGTCGGTCATATCTTCCAAAGCGATATTTCGATCTCTCCTGGGTTGGTTATATTTGCAATGTCTTCTCGGTGATCTGGCTATTTTTTCAAGTTGCCTTGAACAGCATGCCCCCGCACCTTCCTGTCACTTTGCAGTCTATGAACTATAACTCGGTGGTATTGACCGGTGTCCTTGTGATTGTGAATGTTCTTTGGTTTGTTGCTGGCAGGCATACTTTCCAAGGACCCCGGATTGACGCGCATGCGCTGCGTCTGGGCGGGCTTTGAGCGGGGGTGGAAAGCGGACTGATCGCGTCGCTGATACCAGCTATATGGCTGCGCCTGGCGCGCACACTAAGTCAGCCATCATCGTTCGGCTTATGCTACTACTCATGTTAGCTATCA